ACCGCTATACCTTCCAACCCCCCAACACTAGGTAGAAGAGAGAAAGAAGGTTAGAGGGAAAAGGGGCTGTCACTATCATTAGACTACTTCCTGCTGATTAGGTATGTTGAGTTCCTTGGGGTGAGTTTGCTCTTTGTCATCAGGATATCTCCAACCAGCAATCCAGCAAGCAGCAGCAGCAGCAGCAGCAGCAGCAGCAGCAGCAGCAGCAGCAGCAGGGACAGCAGCAGTAGTGGCAACAGCAGCCACAGCAGCCACAGCAGCAGCAGCCACCACAACTCCTCTCGGGATTCTAACATTTATCATACACTTGTAGAAACTGTCTGCAGCTGGCAAAATCATGCCCCTGCTAGAGCACTAGGCAAATAATAGTCAGTTGTTATGGACAATCTGAAGCAGCCCCATATCCCATACCTGGGATTAAAACAAAAACATAGTCACATAACATTTCTGTATTTTTAAAGAAATTCACACTGCATGATACACTTTACCCACAAACTGTGAAGGAAAATGGACATTTCCTTAAGTGGCTTTTCTCAGATATTTTCTCACAGCAATCAAGAAAGTAGCAAAGTCCTAGAGAGGGGCCAAGACATTAATAAAGAGAAACTCCAAAGCAACCATTTGCCTTGAATAAGATTTGAACTTTTGATTCAAAAAATTATCCTTTATTTTGTCCTTGGGATGCCCCACTGATACACTTCTTTGGTGGTATTAAGATTCTCAAAGAAGAGAATATGGAAAGCAGTGATGGCGATTACCATGTCTTCTCTGAGCTCTTTATCCTTTAAATCTAAGATATCTGTCTTTAGGTTAGTTTCTGTGAGAAAGGAGATACATTCTAAAGTAAAGCTTTTAATTTATTCTTAAGAGTACAATCTAATGATCTAAGCAAACTTGTATCCTAAATAGTATTAGCCAATGTTTAATGAGCTACTTAAGATGTGTGGGGTTCTATGCTAAATATTTTACGTGGATTATCTTTTTTAAATGTTCAAACTGGCTTGGGAGAAGGCTTATTATTATTTCTCCTTGGGAGGGGGCACTTATTCTTATTTCTGACTTCACAAGAAGTTACCAAGTCATCCAGCTAGATATGGGGTTTAGGAGATGTGTTAGCAGCCTGTAGAAACAAAATTAAGCTTCATTCTAATTAAGCTTTCTTCTTTAAAACTTTTGTTACTGATAGATTGTATTTGGAGGGCTGGTGAGATTGCTCAGCAGTTAAAAGAATTTGGTGCTATGCTTAACAACTTGAATTTAATCACCAGAAACCACATAGTTAAAGGAGGGAACTGATTTCTGCAAGTTGTCCTAGGGCTATTACATGCACTGGTAGTGGCTATCCCTAAATAAGGAAAGAAATGTTTAAAAGAGAAAAGAAAAGAAAAAGAAAGAAAGAAAGAAAGGAAGAAAGAAAGAAAGAAAGAAAGAAAGAAAGAAAGAAAGAAAGAAAG